CATTCCAGAGCGAGTTTCTGACCCGTTGTTCCACACTTCAGTGTGGACATTATTTACATGTGCTAAGTTTTTTCATTTGATCATCCTTCCTAATAAATGATTTACATAACAAAACAATCACAGGTGAAAACTTCATTATTTAATTGTTGCTTGATGATGAATCAAGCTCACAAGCGGCTGCTGATGAACTGAAAAGTTAAAAAAAAATAAAATAAACACCTTATTCATGACTGCAGTTTGTTTTATTTTATTTTTCATTTTAGACTTTATTTGCAGCTTTTCCATATTTACTGACTGCAATGTATCCACTGAGATTACCGTGTGGTAAAACTGAACGTGTGCACCTTGCATGCGACGTGCGTGCGGTGACCCCCCGCCCACGGCCCCCCACCTAAAAAATGAATCCGGTGCCGCTGATTCGGTGTAAACGAAGACGCAAGTCAAGCAGAGCCTCTGTTGTTTTCCTCTGCTGGTCTCTGTTTAAAGCTTTATTTAGTGTTGCCAACTCCTAACAAGAAAAGTCCCTATTGGCTGTTCTAAAAGTCGCTAGATGACATCATCACTTAATTTGCACAGTTGGATGTTTGCCAATAATTCTGATCTGAGCTATAGGAGAGATGATGAAGAGGAAAAAAAGTGAATAAAAACAATAAATACGTTTAGAACTGCAGTTAAACTTAATGAAATAAAAATTATTTTATGACTTATATGCTTAGATCCACATAAACTAAATTTGTGGGAATCTTAAATTTAATCTACAGACAGTTCGATGTCATGAGGCACAGGGAGGAAGAGGTGAAGAAGTGACTGATCTGTGAGTCAAACACAGCTGGGTCCAGAGATTTAGTTTACAGAGACAGTACCAGAGAAAAACATTACAGTAAATATTACATCCCGCTTTGTAAACCAGGTAGAAGCAGTGACAGCTTTGCACATGCGTGATTCATTTGCAGCGGTCTCTCCTCTCAGCTGACTTCAGCCGAGGGTAGGGGTTGGGGGTGCTGCACGAGGCTTCAGTGAGTCGGACGGCTTTAGGAAGGGGGAGGGGCTYRCYGCACCGCTCGCTGCTTGTGGAGGAGAGGAGGAGGAAAGGAAAAAAAGGCTTAGAAAATGCTGTCGCCAAAGCTCCTAAAAGTCTCTAAAAACACCGGGGCTGGAGAAGAGTGATGTTCACGGATGAATCCAGGTTCCAGTTGTATCTTGCAGATGGAAGACAGCGTGTCTGGTGACGTGTGGGTGAATGGTTTGCACGTGTAAATGTTATGCCCAGGGTTGCCCATGGAGGTGGTGGCATTATGGTATGGTCAGACATCACATACGGGCATAGAACACCATTGCACTTCATTGAAGGGACACTTAATGCACAAAGATATCGGGACAAGATTCTCACCCCAATTGTTGTGCCGTTTGTGCGCCAGCATGACATCACCTTTCAACATGACAATGCCTGACCTCATGTTACCCACATCTGCATGGAATTCCTTCAAACTGAGGACACTGAAGTTCTGGACTGGTCTGCATATTCGCCAGACATGTCCCCAATAAAGCATCTTTGGGATGTGCTGGAACGGGATGTCTGGGACCATGTTCCAGTTCCAGGCAATGTGGGTCAGCTCCATTGGGAATGGAATAACATTCCACAGGCCACCATAGAAATTCTGATCAACTCCATGAGAAGATGTGTTGCTCTGAGAGACGCAGCTGGCGGACACACAAGATACTGAAAAAACAAATTCCTCAAACTGACCCCTATCATGTTCAAAGGACTGTCAATCCGCTACAAATGGCCAAACCTTGATGTTATCAATACCGATATGAAGAACAGTAATTACTGAAAATATATTTTGAGTTTCTCTGTATGTTGTGCAACACAAATGTTCATGAAACTCTTGTATTTGACATGGGGCGTTTATATTTTTGTTAAGTGTATATTTGAATTGTTTTTGAATTGTTGAATTGAGATTTCCAAGCTGGAAAAAAATTAAACTTTGCTAGCTCATAGGGAAAATCTCAAATTTATAAGGCGTTTTCCCTCAAAATCAGGTTTTTTGTCGCTACTCCTCAAGAAAGTGCTTCTAAATTTTGTTTTATGATTATATTTCAGACAGTTCATTCAAATGATACATTGATAAGGCATTTATTCATTATATTTGGACAAAATGCAATTTTTGTTAACATTTTAATCAAAACACTGTATTTGCCTATTTCTCCATGCACCCCTTTTAATCCTCGTTTTGATGTGATGGGTCACAAATGTCACGGATTTTTCAATATACTGATAATAGTGACTTCTTTGTTGCATTGTATTTTGTACATGCTTACCAATAATGCAAGTGACTTCTTAGTGACTTCGTTATGCTGAACTATTCTTCATCTTTTTGTCAGTCACACTGCTGTTGCCATACCAAGTGAAATAGTTAGTCCAGATGCTCTCAGTACTGCTCTGGTGAATGTGTTGACAATTGAAGGAGGAATTTTGACTCACTTCAGTCTCTTGAGGAAGCACATCTTCTGCTGAACAGTCTTGGCCAAGTTGAAAGACCCTGGAAGAACTCCTTGAAGAATTTTCAAGTCAATTCAGTTCATTTATATAGCAACAAGTCACAACATACGTTGTCTCAGGGCACTGTACATGAAAAAAGAACAATCTAAAGAAGAAGCCAGCAGATTGTTTTGAATCACTTCATCACAGTCTCCCATCCTGAGCAAATGGTGGAGAGGAAAAACTCCCTGCTAATCAGGAAGAAACCTCCAGCAGAACCAGGCTCAGGACAGGCGGCCATCAGCCTCGACCGGCTGGTTTGGGGGACAGGAAAGAGACACAGGTAAACACAGAAGAACTGGTTCAGGTGCACCTACTTCAGGAAAAGAGACAAAAAGACAAAATATTATTGATAGAAATAATTACAATAAACATAGAGAAGAGAGATCTTTTGAACTCCTGTATTTTTTTTCACAATGGGAGTTGCTGATGTGCAGAACCATGTTACTTTCTTTTTGTGAAGAATCAGTTCTACCTGTGTTCCTGTGTGGTGATTGGTGATCTGACCCTGATTACACACACCTGTTGGGGATTTGTCTGATGATCAGCTGCAGCTTTATAAGCTTCCTCCATCAGTTGATCCACGCTGATGCATCTAACCTTCATGGTAGTACTGTATCTAGCTACTAGATTCAATGTTAAAGACTGTATTTTGTATTTACCTCGTTCATCCTTTGTCCAAGGTGGATTACCAGATCACGGAAGCCACACCTCATACTAAGAAGTCCTCACACCAAGTTGGGTCAGAAAACAAAGAACCTCATCACGAACACTCACAGCCACTCTGCCTGAAGAACTGCCACCTGCCTTTGAAAACCTCCTCTTTTGGAACTCTTCGCCTCTGGAAAATCTGTAAGAAAGAATCACATATTAACAAGAAAATATCTATGTAGGGAGGGAGCTTAGGGTGAATTAAGCTCTTCCTACATCTCTCATAAACAAGGTTATGAGGAAAGTTTTACCAAGGTATTTTCTCATTACTTTTAATATCTTGACTGTGCAAAGTGAAAAGTGACACGAGTGAACGTTCAGACGAGTTCAAGTTGATTCATAAAGACTATGCAATCAGTTATTTACACAAATTGAACAGATCATAAGTACACTTGATTGCGGTTATTCCTATAACAAGCTTCAAAGTTAAATGAGATAAAACCCGCGTCCTAATTTTAATTCACATCAAACTCAAATTACTTCTATAGAACAGTAAAACGTCAGTTCTGATGTTACAACCAAACAATTCTACTGGCACTTTCAGCTTAAGTTTTGGCAAATAAAGACAAAGAAAAGGAGGAAAGTAATGTTAGTAATATACTAATTTTACTTTATCAAGAGTGTGTCCAACCGGATCAACACGTCCCTTCTACACTCAGTTTCCACATGACATATCACCTGGAACACATCAGTTTTTACCTGGTGATGGCTTCTTAAGTGACCCCTGGGTAGTCACTGTCTCACCTCCGATCAGTCAGGGAACTTTTTAATCGGCTCGCTCACTGTTCCTTGGCGAGAAAGGTGTTATTTCAGGTAACTTTTCATCTGTTTCAGTCCAAGCCAGAAAGATTCAAGCTGTACATCCGGTGCCGTCTTTCAAAATAAAATCTCCCCTCGGGAGTCAAAAACACACTTTAGAGGCGAGGAGCCTCGTGTGGGACATCCGGCTGGTGTGCCGAGTCCCGGCTGTTAGATCTTCCCTAGTTAGCTCATGGGCAAGACCTAACAAGCCAAACTGGCTTCTCCAGAGAAAAACTCAGCTTTCCTTCCAAGTTTGGCATCCAGGAAGAAGTGTGTGTCATTCAAAGGCGTCCGTGTTAGTAATAGAAACGGACGACTTTGGTTCCGCCCTCAAGTGTTAAGATGAGTCAGAGAAAGAAAGAAAGAGATTTGCCAGCGGCGCCAGCTCAAGGCTAAAATTCTGTGGTTGTCACAACAGAATATGATAACTTCTTTTCAGCTTTTCTTCTCATAGACTCTAAGAGAAATCACTGCAAAACATTTATGATGATTAATTAACATTTCTGTTTTATAATCAGTCTGAACCATTCTGTTAGTCCAGATAAATGAAAGATTTTCTCAAGAAAAATCCACAATTAAATTACTGTGTTCACAGTAAAAAAAACCCAGTGATTTATATAAAAACACAATGAAAACATGGTAATGATTTTCTCTGTGATTTTTTATACCATTAATTAATCTTTTAGGCACGATAAAAGAGTAGAAGTGGTTCCACTTTCTTGTGACAGTCATTATCATGATTTAACAAATGCATAAACATTCTTAGTTAAACAACAAATGAATCACGAACAGAAGAGATTGTTCTGTCCATTATCTGATTAAGAGAACCGAGGGGTTCTCTTCTGGTTTGAAATGACCTGTCATGGCCTAATTAGAGCTCAGTTTGTGACAGAGTTCCTGTACTCTCGTCAGGCCTGTTTGAGGCCTGCTTCGAGGCAGTAAATCTTGTTTCTTCACTCGAGGTGACCCCTACATCTACAACAAATTACTCTTCCAAGAACCAGTACTCACCTTCTACGTTCTCCTCCTTTTCAGCTGATGTCCAAAACCAAACTCCACCTGTAAATAAAACTGCACTTACCTTTTAATTGTTGTCTTGGTCTGATCATTCAGCTCTTCTGCTTTGTTGAACAATATCCCATCCTTGTCAGTATGCATCAGCCAACTGGTTCAACAAGCGGGGCTGAAGCCAAACCATTACAAATTGCTATAGAAAAACAATTTCAATGTATTGATAATCATGAAGCTTGTCTCCAACAGTTACTACAGTGACAACATGCTTGAAAGAATAAGTAATAAAATGGCTGCTATGGATTCCAAACTCAATTCTGTCCTTCCTCCACCTGCCCCATCAGCGCCTGTCGCTGCTGCACCTCAGGTAAAACATTCTCAAAGAGAACCTGATTTCAGACTAGGTGAATTGTTTGAAGGGGACTTAGACCGCTGCGGTGGTTTCCTTTTACAATGGCTTTCTCCCATTATCCGTTGTTTTTTCCTGATCATATGTCAAAAATAACTTATATCGTCAACAATCTGAAAGGAAAAGCATTAAAATGGGCTCATGCTTTCCTTCAGTTCCACTCTACCCATTCTTTGACTTTTCAATGTTTTCTCCATGAGTTTTAACTTGTGTTTGACCATCCGCTCCAACAGGAGACAGCAGCCAAAAAGATTCTAGCTGTACGTCAAGAGAAGAGGTCTGTTGCCGATCACTCCGTCGACTTCCGGATTGCTGCCGGGGAGGCGGGATGGGATGATCAGGCACTCAAGGCTATTTTTATTAATTCACTATCTGATGTTTTAAAGGACCAACTTGCCGCACGAGAGGAACCTAAAACCTTGGAGAAGGCCGTCGTCATGGCGATCCGGATTGACTATCGTCTGCGGGAACGCAGGAAGGACCGAGACTACAGTTCCCATCGGCCCTTGGTCACCATGTTCCACTCAACTTCCGCCTTGTCCTCCTCTGAGTCACGCACATCTGATGCAGAACCGGAACCCATGCAGCTCAGACGAGCCCGTTTGTCCCAAGAAGAGAGACAGAAATGTTTGGACTCCAAGGAATGTTTTTACTGTGGAACGAAGGGACACTTCGTAGCCCAGTGCTGCTTGCTGTTAAAAGCCAAGACCCACCAGTGAGTAAGGGGATCCTGGTGTCGAACTTCACCCCAGCTCTCGACTAACATTACATTCCACACTCATTCACCAGCAGAAGAAGGTTCCCATTCATGCATTAATAGACTCAGGAGCTGAACAAAATTTGATCTCATCTGATCTTGTGGATKTTTTGGAGTTACCTGTAGAGAATCTCAACCCTCCTATCCCGGTCGCAAGAATTACTGGTGACAACATAACCAAGATTTCTCAGAAGGCAGAAAAGGTACAGGTGCTCATCTACGGTAATCATCGAGAGTTTGGTAAGTTTTTTGTCTTCTCCTCGCCCACACCACAACTGATTTTAGGTTATTCTTGGCAAACAAAACATAACCCCATGTTAAACTGGTCACAAAAGAGGGTAGATAAGTGGAGTAGTTATTGCTTAAATAACTGCTTAACCTCTGCTGTCTCACCCACTACTAAGTCTCAACCCACTGAAGACATTGAACTCTCTTCTGTATCAAGAGAATACCATGATTTTAGCAAAACTCAGGCTTTGTCTCTGCCTCCTCACAGGCCCTATGACTGTTCCACAGAGTTATTATCTGGTGCCCCTCTCCCATCTTGTCACCTCTACAACCTCTCTGCACCTGAAACTGAGTCCATGAAAAATTACATTGAAGAGTCCTTAGCATCCGGTATCATTCGTCCTTCCACCTCCCCCTTAGGTGCTGGTTTCTTTTTTGTAGAGAAAAATGACAAAAGCCTGAAACCTTGCATTGACTATCGGGGGTTAAATCAAATCACTGTTAAAAATAAGTATCCTTTTACCACTAATTTATTCAGTTCATCAACAACTCCACTCAGCCTCCATTTTTTTCAAAACTGGATTTACGTAATGCGTATCATTTGGTAAGGAGCCACCTTTTGGGACATTTTGAATATCTGGTGATGCCTTTTGGGCTCACCAATGCCCCAGCAGTCTTCTAATCCCTCAATAATGTGCTACGTGATTTTCTGAACATTTTCGTCTTTGTCCACCTGGATGACATTCTCATCTACTCCAAGGACCCGACCCAACACATTCAACATGTTTGAGCTGTACTCCAGAGACTTCATGAGAACCAACTCTTCGTAAAGGCCGAGAAATGTGAGTTTCATGTTCCTTCAGTGTCAATTTTAGGTTTCATTTTTGGACAAGGCTATTTTCTGACAGACCCTCACAAAGTCAAGGCAGTGGCAGAGTGGCCCACCCCTACTGATCGACGTCAACTCCAGCGCTTCCTAGGCTTCGCCAACTTTTAGCGACGCTTCATCCAAAACTACAGTCGTGTGGCCGCACCATTAACCCAACTCACCTCAACTCTTAAGACCTCTAAGTGGAACTCACAAGCTGAATCAGCATTTGATGAGTTAAAGAAAATATTTATTTCTGCTCCCATATTACATCACCCAGTTCCAACTGAACAGTTCATTGTGGAGGTGGACGCCTCTGACACAGGAGTCGGGGCAGTATTATCACAAAGGTCTCTGTCTGACAAGAAGATGCACCCCTGCACTTACTTTTCCAGTAGACTTTCTCCTTCAGAACGCAGCTATGATGTAGGGAACCGGGAACTGCTGGCAATCAAACTCGCACTCGAAGAATGGCGGCACTGGTTAGAGGGAACTAAGTTACCATTCATTATCAGGACTGACCACAAAAATCTGGCTTAGACAGCTAAGAGATTAAACCCTTGCCACTGTAATACCTTTTGTGTGCATAATGGGTGTAAAAACGTTGAAAAAGTTTTTTTATTTCAGTTTTTTAAAGAATTTGTTTTGAAGTGTTTTACTGTATATTGGTATATTAAACTTGAGTCTAATAATCATAATAATGCTTTGATGTTTTATAAATATTATAGATACTTATAAATAAATTATAATTAAAAATTACATTATAAATTTTTCTTTCTAATTTTCCTAAACAGACCAGAAYCCTGTACTGCAGGATTAACCTGAGTGTCCCTGTCCTGGACCGCTTTTTTAACCAGGAAGATCTTAGACCAGACTTCAGGCTGAACAGCGAGTCTCTGGCAGTGTTGCTGAATCTCCTTAAACAGGATCGCCATCATGGTTGGGGTGCCACAATTGAGACCCTGGTTTTTCTTTTCTGGTTGGCAAGTGGAGCATCCTACAGGGTGGTCTGTAGAGTGTTTGGGATGCCTCGTTCAACTGTCCACTGGATCGTCCATCGGATCACAGAGGAGGTGGTGGCCATTCGCCACCAGGTCATCCACCTCCCTAAAACCCCTGAAGACCTGGAGGTAGTGTCCCGTGGGTTTGCAGGGCTGGCAGGGCACAGAGCCTTCCTGAAAGCAGCATGTGCAATCGATGGCTGCCACATCCACATCAAGCCTCCAAGCGGCCCTGATGGTCAGTGCTACAGGAACAGGAAACTGTTTCCATCCATCATCCTCCAGGCAGTTTGTGACCATCAGGGCCTCTTCATCGACACGTACGTGGGCTGGCCTGGGTCGGTGCACAATTCCAGGGTGCTCCGCCACAGCCCACTGTACCGGCAGTCTGTCTACCCWCCTCCAGGGCATTTTATCCTCGCAGATGGAGGGTACCCATGCCTCCAACGTCCACTACCCCTCATCACACCCTACAAACGGCCAGTGCAAGGTGTGGGAGTCCAGCGCTTCAACAGCCATCATTCCAAGGCACGCTGTATTATAGAGCGTGCCTTTGGGATGATGAAGACCAGGTTCAGGGCCATCTTCCTGCAAGCGCTGGAGGTGTACCACACCTTTGTACCTCATGTAAGTGAACACGGAGTGGCATCTCACATTCTTTAAATATAGAAATGTATATGTATTCTTATATACCAATTTTGTTTTTATTTCCCTCTATTGGAGGTCATCACTGCTTGCGTCGTTCTCCACAACATCTGCCTCAGTGCTGGTGACATCGTGGCCCCGGAGGATGAGCCTGAGGAAGATGGAGTGGAGGATGAGGGGGAGGCTGGCTTGGAGGCAGTCAGCGGTGCTCGCTGGTGGGGCCAACTGTCTGCTGAGGTGTCTGYCCTGGAGGAGGTACCAGCAGACCACGACTACTGCTAAAAAGCAAGTAATTCATCAAAATATCTTTATTTTTAAAATGCACTGTTCTTTTGCACTATTAATATGAATGGAAACCTATTAATATTATCTCGTTTGCATATTTTGTTATGTCTTAGTGATGTGGCAGCCGTCGATTGAGCCAGCCCTGCAAACCCTGTTGTTGGACGATTCAGTGGACAGAGAGAGGGAGCGTCCCAAAAACACTCTGCAGACCACCCATGATGTTCCACTTGTTGACCAGAGAAGACCAGTCCCGGGTCTTAGTTGTGGCACTCCAGCCGGTTCCTTCAGCACATCCAGCAACATTGCCAGAGACTTCCTGATTTTTTTGTTTTGTTTTGTTTTACATTAAATGGTCAAGGAAGGGGACACTCAGGTTAATCCTGCCTTAACTGTAAATAGTTGTACAATGTTTCTTTTTTATTCCTGTAAATAGTTTTTTTTCTTTATATTCT